TCACAGTACTTAAAAAAAAAAAAAAAAACAAACCAAAAACAAAAAACAAAAACCAACAACCCTATAGCGATCCTAAAAGGCAAAACCCGACCACGGAGTTCCTGGAAGAAGAAACCGGGGTTAAAAAGATTCCTCCTCTCTTCTTCATCATCATCAACCATCATTCATTCACTACCTTGACATTCCCTGGCTTTGATTGACAGCTGGAGTGGCAAAAAGCCATGAGACACGACAGTTTGGTTACATGTGGGTTGCTGACGGGCCGATCGTAACCTTCAGTTTGGGGGCTTGACAATTTTTTTTTTTTTTTTTTTTTTTTTTTTTTTTTTTTTTGCGTAGAGAAAGAAAAAAGGAAAAAGAGAGACAGAAAAAGGAAAGAGAGAAAGAGACAGAAAAAAGAAGAAAACTCAGAAACTCATCGTGGTTCTTGACTGTTTTTTATATATTATTGTTGTTATTGTTGTTGTTGTTATTATTATTATTTACCCATATTGGAGAATAGGAGAAGCCTATAAGTGGGTTGCAAAAAAAAAAAAGAAAGGAATCTTCTTCACTCTAAATCACTTTCTTTGCTGGACTGGGATATTAAATATACGACACATCCAGGAGTTTATTGGAGCGCAGACTGATGGCGCAAAGGGTAGGTTTAAATCTCCAACACTTACCTATATATAAATCCTCTCTTAAGAGGGGCCTGTCCGATTTGCTCTCCTCTGTTGCTGCTGATGATGGCGGCCACTATTAAAAAATAGCAGCAAAAATTATTCACTGGCTTTTTGTGTGTGTGCATGAGTGTCTCTCTGTGTGTGTCTCTGCAATTGTTCCACGCTTTTTTCCTTTCTAGCTTTTCCCCCAGCAGAGCGATTTCCCTGCTTTCTGCCTGCTCAGTAGCACGGGTTTCACAGGGGAAAGCTTACTGCTGCTCCTGCTGCTGCCGCCGCTACTGCCACTGTCTAGCAAAGACTAAGAAATACATGTGTGTGTCTGCGTATATATGAATGTATATATATGTATACACATATAGCTGCTTTTTTTTTTTTTTTTTTTTTTTTTTGTCTCTGGCTTTGACAAGGACAAGGGGAATTGCTACTAAATAATGTTTCTGGTAACTTTCAGATTATTTCCCCCTTTATCTCCCCCCCCTCCCCATGCACCCTACCTTACCTCTCTCCTTCCTAGTGTTCATTTATTTACCTAGTTGCTTTTGATTCTGCTTGTTTATTAATTTTTTTTGTTGTTGTTCTTTCTCTCTAATGCAGAGTAACTCTAGTTTCTTTCCTCCGTTTCCTTCCTTTTCATTCCCGTTTCCTTGTTAGGGGTTCTCCTGCCCGTGCTGAAGAGGACCGTCTACCCACACACACGCAGGCAGGCATACACGCTTTCCCCCTTTACCTTTCCCCGCACCCCCACTCCTTCCTCAGCCTCTCCAGCCCCTTCTCCCGGTCCCAATTGATTTCATTTTGCGCATTTCTCTCTCTGTTGTGGCTGTTCTTGTTTTGTTTTGCTCTGTTTGTGTCTGTCCGGGTGCTTTACTCTCCTCTGACTTTTGTTGTTGTTGTTTGTTTGGTTTGTTTTTGTTTTTTTTTTTTTATTTTATTCCCCTCTCCTCCTCTTTCTTTTTCTTTCTCCTCTTCCGGCCCATTTTTTGACAGTACGATGAGCTGCCCCACTACGGCGGGATGGACGGAGTAGGGGTGCCGGCGTCTATGTACGGGGACCCCCACGCCCCCCGGCCGATTCCCCCGGTGCACCACCTCAACCATGGGCCGCCGCTCCACGCCGGACAGCACTACGGCGCCCACGCCCCGCACCCCAATGTCATGCCGGCCAGCATGGGCTCCGCTGTCAACGACGCCCTGAAGCGGGACAAGGATGCGATCTACGGGTAGGTGCCGCTGGGCCGCCCGGGCCCGGCTCCGCAGCGCTGCTGCCCGCGGAGCGGCCAGGGCAGAAGCGGGGCGGGCGGGCGGCAAGGGCTCCCGCGGGGCCGCGGCGGCAGCGGCAATCGGGCCCCGGAGTGGAGTGGGGCGGGAGGAGCCCCGGAGGGTCCAGCGGGAGGGCGGTGGCCGACCAGCAGCCCGCTCTGGTGGGAGACCTCCGCGGTGGCACTGCCGCTGCTGGCGATCTCGGGACGAGGGCGATCCCAGCCTGACTCTTAGCTGAGGTACCAGCACCCACGAGAAACGGGTGCTGGAATAACAGACCTCTCAGGGAGAGAGGCTAGGCTTGGGGGAGGTGGTGTTGCCTTGTCCTTCCATTTTTCTTTTTTATTTACTCGGGTTTTTTTCCTCTCCCCACCCCCTTTTTCTTACCCGTGGGGTTTTTTTTTGTCTTTCTTGGAAAGGCCACAGTTAGGAGTTAGAGACGGTTCTCACTGCTTTGAATTTTAGTTGGAGAAGTGTTGTTCTGGTGTTCTCCTCCATGCCACAATACCACTCTCCCAACTTTGTAAATAAAGAGCTATTCACAACGCAGAAGATAGTAAGAATGAAAGGGATTCGCTTCTTGCAAACAGCTCTTCCCTGAGATAGAAGACATAAATACATTGGGGGCAATGAAATGAGTTTTCTACTTAAGAAAAACCATGAGGAAAAGAGACACATACCCAGCAAAACTCAAGGCACCAGGGCATTGCTTGGAGGGAATGACACGAATTCCCTTCAATTCCTTTCGGAAAAAATACTAAATGATCCTCAAATGAGAGCTAGTAACATCTATGACAGAGTGTGGGGCCTTGATCAGACACCAAAGGGGAAAAGAAACAAACGCATGATTACTACTTAACACGCAGATAATTTTTTTTTTCTGACTACACCAACTATGGGAAAATATTTCACGAAGTGCTCCCTCCCTCCACCCCCTCCCCTGCTCACTTATCTGGACAGATGGTATTTTACTTGGGTGTGCTTCCTAAGCCAGGAAACTTCACCACATTTTTGCTAGCAGGCCCCTTGAAAAATAAAATTACGTATTAAGGAGTTTGCAGTTTGCCTAGCTGTGCTCTCGTTTTAGGTCATAGCTGGAGGGTAGGGATGGGATCTTCCACGTTTTGCGGTATGTTAAGCTGTGGCAAAAATTGTAAGCTTCCCAGCTGAGCTGCTGCTAAGCACATTCGGCGCCTTGTGCATTTGGAGGAGCGGTCACTTTTGTCCTAATCTGTGAGGACTGAACGGGGGATGCGGTTCGGGTATTGCAATTTCAAAAAAAAAACCGAAACAAACCAACCCAGCAACCCAACAGAAACCAATCCACTACAAACCTCATCATTTTTATTTCAAAATACTGTTCTCTCCTACTCTACCCAGAACATTACTGCTAGTCTATAGAGTGTGGCTGTGTCCGTGTGTCCATGTCTGTGTGTCCATGCACTAAAAAAAAAAAAAAATACTTGTTGATTAGAGTTCTTCTTTCCCCCTCTCCCTCCACCCCCTCCCTTCTCTTTGTGTGCCACTGCCCGGTAGGCACCCGTTGTTCCCCCTCTTAGCTCTGGTCTTTGAGAAGTGCGAGTTGGCGACCTGCACGCCCCGGGAGCCCGGCGTGGCCGGCGGGGACGTCTGCTCCTCCGACTCCTTCAACGAGGACATCGCCGTCTTCGCCAAACAGGTTCGGCACCTCTCCGCCCGCCCCCAACCCTCCCCAGCGCTCCCGCCGCCTCCTCAGCTCCTCGACCCACACGGACGGATGCTGGCAGGGGTAGCACCCCCTCCCCCCCGGCGCCCCCTCTCCTGCGGGGCGGGGGTGCGCGCTGGTGGCCCGGCTGGCCCTAATGCCCCCTCCGCCGGCAGTTCCTCCACGCTGCCAGGCTGGGACTCCCGGTCCTCGCCCTCCTGCATTAGTGATAGGGAAAGATAGCTGTGACCGAGTTTTGGAGGCAGAGGGAGCGGGAGGCAGGCAGGAGACCCAAACGAGAGGGCTCCCGTGTCACCGGCGGCCGGCTCGGCGCCTGGCCGGCAGCTTCTCTCCAAGCACGGTGACCCAGGGCGATCAGTCGGATTTTGGTAGCAGCCGGTTTTGTCACACGGGTTTTTCCCCCTTCGAGTGATCCGGTTACAGGGCTAAAAAGAGAAGCTGTAGTTCACGCCGCTTTTCCTTCTTCTTGCAGGTCCGCGCCGAAAAACCACTTTTTTCTTCAAATCCAGAGTTGGACAATTTGGTAAGGCCTGCTTCCCCTTCCACCCCACTACCCTCTCGTCCTTCCCGACCCCTCTGCCAGCTGCCGGCAAGCGCCCTCCGCCGCCCGGGGCCGGGGCCGATCGGTGCGGCGGGGCAGCGGCTGCCGGCCCAGGCACCCGGGCTGCGTGGGCAGGGGAGCGGGGCGCCGGCCGACCGGGGAGTTGCAGTCAAGGGGCTTCAAAGAGCTGCACTCTTAAAAAAGAGCCAGGACAAACTCTCGAGCCCTATGCATTGCAAAGCTGCGTTTGAAAGCCATGGGAAGCTAAAGTGAAGGAAATAACTTCTTAAGAAGAGAGAGATGGAGAATTCTAACGTAATTCTTTTGGTAATGTGAATGATTTCAATATTCAAAGTGCCTAAATCCGCTTGTAAAAAAGATGCTGAACTATTCACACACTCACCACCCTTT